GAGGTCATTTAGGTCATTAGAGGTCGTAAGAGGTCATTAGAAGGTCAAACACTGGATTTTTTGCTGCTACTGTATTCCCTGGGTCCCTAGCTTTCGTTTGATGTGCATAAAGCCATAGTTGAAATATTTTCTATTTCTGGAGGTCATTAGAGGTCATTAGAGGTCATTAGAGGTCATTAAAATTCAATTTGATTTTATTTTATGAATTTCGATCACTAATTAGGCGTGCACCCAAAAAATTGGAAGATTTGAACCAAAAATGAAGGCAGGGCCCCCCCCCCTACATCAAATGTGCCAACTCCACCATCCCCTTTTGATAGACAATATGTAATCCTCCAAAAATTTGGGCTTGAGGCTTTCAGACTGTCAACGTTTTTTCAATAAACATGCACTCTTAAATTTCCTATTTACCAAGTGAAATCTGCTTAACATCTCTCCCCCCCACCACTGTTATGGGCATCAGTGGAGGTAAGCTAAATGTTGGATGTCTGCTAGATGGATGGATGTTAACATTTCTCTTCTAGAATTCCAGTCCCGGATAGGTATTCCTAAAATTATTTTCAAAGTATGTTCAGGGATACTTTATTACGAAGAATTACCCCCTCCCCCCGGACGGGTAACAATCAAAGACTCGCAGTTGTTTACTGTGAAAATTTTATTTATTTACCACATTTTAGCAAAAAAAAATCTAATTTTGTTTTGAAGATTATTCCCTATTGATATAAATAATATATAAATTAAAATAAAAAATTTATTTTAAGTTTGAAAATTACTCCTAACTACTTGAAATTCATTTATTTTCAGTGTTCTTTAAAATACAAAAAAAAATCTCAGCTTTCTATAAGGTACAATTTTTTTTACCATGGACTGGAGGATAAATGGTGTGGAAAACTGGGAACAAGCTTCTGATGCTCTATCCAGCTCCCAGCCTACACAGTTAACAATAGATATTAATATTATAATATCTTTAAAATAAATAAAGTTTAGGGGTCGGGATAAAAAATTGTAAACTGACAAACANAAAAAACACAAATTCAGTTAGATACAAATTTTCTGAAAACAAATCAAACTCTTTTTTTATAATATAATCTAAGAAGATGGTGCATTTGTCTCACTAATTTCAATCAGAATCAGGGGTGTATATTTTTCAGAATATGATTTTTGATGATTGGAAAAAAATAAGACATCAAAAGATTCCTCATGATACTTTTTACTCAAACATTAAAAATCATTTATTTTCCACAATTCAGCAAATAAAACCCAAATTTTATTTGCACTCCACCCATACATTAATGACTTCTGGGGAAGAAATTATTTTTGGAGAAAGTATACATCCCTGATCCGGATTAGTACGGATTCCTGTGATTCCTATTTTCAGCTCGAATTCGTAAAATTAGCTTACCATTCATCTTAAGTGAAGATTGATGCGGATTTCGAAGGCGTTGTTCTTTTTCCTACGCCTGGATAGCTGTGGTATAGGTTAAACCTACGTCTGGTTAGCTCGTGGAGAGAGTAGAGAAAGTTTAAGAACCCGAGAGCGGGTGCTGGCTATTCACCGCACGCCAAGAGTATTTTCTCTAAAATTGAAAATTATAAATGTCTAAAATTTTTAATATTTAGGATTTCTAATTTTGAATTGTATTTAAGATTAAATTTACAAGGATATTGAAAACCATCTCTATTTGAAAAACAATAATCTAAGTTTATTTATTCAAAATCTCTTAAGCAGTTTTTAACTAGGAACTAAGTAGCAAAATTTCATGGGTATAATTTTCCAGTCATTTGAAAAATAGATGTAGACAAAAACTTACCTTTTTGTATCTATTTTGATTCCAGTTTATTGTCTGAAAAAAACGTTAAAAGTTTAGGAACCTTCCACGTAAATAAATAGAAGGAAAAGTAATTAATAAAACAAATTAGTGTTTTACAAAATGTAAGATTTAAAAAAAATTGCTGTACATTTTTGTTACCTTTTTCAGCGTCATTTGATGGCAGAGAAACACCGATAGTCTGGAAAAAAAAATCAGTTTATTATCATAAAATTTTACTTCTAACAGGAAATGTAGAAATTGCTTTATTTGGCTCTCCATTTGTACAGTGGCAAATCCAATTCACAGCGATACCATAAAAAGACGTTGTCTAATCAAGATTGTACGAGATATCCATCATTATCTCATTAAAAGTTGTTTATTTTCATTTCAATTGAGGTTCAAATTTACATGGGTCAAAATGAAAGTTAATATCAATTTGTATAACGATTAATTGATAACTCAATAGCCACGTCTCATAATGATCCTCTTTTCCTTAAGTATAAGATTCATTCTTCATTCTTCATTCCTCATTCCTCATTCCTCATTCTTCATTCTTCATTCTTCATTCTTCA